TATGTGCTTCTTGTTGCACTTACACTGTCTGTAGTGTCTACGCTAACTTGTGCATCTCATCTTTGGGGTGAGTGTGTTTTATCCATCTTTCTGCCCCACAGGGGTTCCTCCAGCTGTCTCTGGGGCAGGAGACATGGTAAGATAATGCTACAATGAAAAAAAGGCCTTTAACTGAAATATACACAGTGAAATTAATTATACTCTTCTCATCATGCCCTTGTTAGAAAATCATGTGACTGTTACAAACTATAATGGGGGCTACCAACACCATCCTGTTGCACTTCATCAGGCTCCATCCTGTCTTAACTAGATTTGGAAAACATTAATAAGTAACACATTTCTTATTAACATTGGCACAGCCCTTTAACAAACCTGGGTTCATATTTCCCATTCAACAGGCACCAGCTTGTTCTTCTTTACACCAATTTAACCTTAAGTTAAAGTACAGCAATTTCAACTATGCCTGTAACTGATAAATTAGACAGATCTTAACCCCCCCAAAGCATCTGTAATTTGATTGCTGGAGCTCCATATGGTCATATTAGAACAGAAACTTTCAGTTGCTGCTGAGACAAAAAAAAAAAAAAAAAAAAAAAGATTGGGCTGATGTGAAAAACTTGTTGGTGAAATTCCATCTAAGAACCCTGCCATCGTGATCTCCTATATCTGTAGATGGCTTTAAAATGTATCTGGCTTCTTCTCAAGCACTTTATTTGTGCATTTGGTAGGGCACAAACTGCAGCAGCCTTTTAGGAGGGAGAACAATGAGGCCTAGGGTGAGAGATTTCTGTGAACCCTGGGAGCAAAGGCATCCAAAGGCAGGATTTGGACCTGCTTGCCTCCAGCCCTTGGTTCTCTCCAGGGCCTCAGGGTGCCTCCTGGTTTTAATTTGTTGGTAAGGTCAAAAAAGATGAGCTTTCATCATGGTTGCAAGCTGTGCTGCACTAGCCAGCAAAGCAATTTTATTTCTTTGTTTGTTCAGTTTTTCCCTAAAGGGTTTCGATGAGTTTAAGGCAACTCAGCCAGTGTTTTGCAAACTCTCAGGGGCGATGTGGGATTATACACTCTGTATCTCCAGTGTCCCCAGGAACTTTTTTTTTTTTCTGAGCGTCTTGAAGGTTTTTGAATGTCTTGGAGCAGCTAACCTAGACTCTTCAGAAAGCTTATTTTTTTCCTGGCGGGGTCTACTGATAGATCTACTAATGGAATTGTGTTTGGGGGTACAAGCGTATTCCTAGGCTGGCTTCTCACTCCTTCACTCTTTCTTCTTGCAGCTTCTTCTCATGCAGCAGCATCGGTGTGGCTCTTTGCCACCTGCACTTAGGTGGTGCACAGAACACACAGACCTCCATCTTCATGGTGCTCTCATACCCAAAGGGCAGACAGTAAATAATCAGGTAGAGAGGTGAATACATAAAATGACCAGGGATTTGCTATGGGACATGAAGTGGTGAGGACAGTGTTGAAAATTGTCCTTCACAAAGGGTTCTGAGAGCAAGAATCATCTCTCTTGAGAAATGACATTTGATCTGAGAAACAGGATGCAAAGAAGCAGGGGAATGAGGAGCACATGTCAAGGTCCTAAGAAGAAACTGGATTTGCATTTGTCCTAGAGCTATGGATGAGGCCAGTGTGCTGGGCACCATAACCAGGAGGTAGAGGGGAGTAAATGGGACTGAAAGAGAGACAGGAAAAACATGCAAGCTTGGGTACCATTCTGGGATCCATAGAACACCACTGAAAGGTTTTAAGTAGAGGAGATCTACTATTAGATTTACATAGATTTATATATAATTAGACAGATAAATGGATAAACAGATGGATGGATGGACCAGTAGATGATAGAAATGAGAGATGTGATAAATGTAAATTGCTTTTGCTTTGAAGGGGCAAAAGCTGGATAAAGGTCATTGAGTTGATTTTGATGTAGCTTATATCTGAGTAACAAGAGTGTATGTAGAATTCAGTAGACACCTTAAAAATTCTACCTGAAGTTTCTGGTATGAGGACACAGAGCTCTCCTGATCTGATCACACACTGCGCAATTCAGCCAGGGCCGGGGATTGTGGAAGATGGCATCCTGCAGATCAGGTGGTAACATGGCGATAGTCGTAAGACTTTTTCTTTCTACTTCTGTTAAGATCCTGGGATCTGCTGGCCTCTTTGGACTGTACTTAGCCAGCGCTGAGAACATTACATTGTTTACGTGCCTGGCATAGCTGCTATAAAAGTAGTGCTGGGGTCCAGATCTTGCCTAATAACCTTGTGTCTAAATTGTAGTGTCACACAAGGGCGTGTTTGGAAATTAGCATTTGAAAAGAAGCTCCCTTGCTTTCAGTTTGAGCTGACATGGTCCCTTTTCCTCTGTGGAAATGAAATTTATTAATCATAATAAAACCATCGTATTCTGAAGGTAGAGGTCACCCTGAGGAGAAAAGGAGCCTGCTCATTTGTGAGGAATAGTTCAATGCTGTTGTATTTCCTTCTCCTTGGAAGAGAATACCGCCAAATTATTACCTTAGGTTTTCTGCAAAGGTTGAAACTATGCCCAGTGTTAGAGCCCCACCCCTCAGAAAGAATGTGGGAGGGAAGAGTGGGAGCTGGATTTTCAGTAAATGCCTTCAGACTGCCAATAAGTTGTTTCCTACAAAGAGGAAATTGTTGCCATAATAAAGCCATTCCCTAAATTTAAAAAAAGTCATTGTCCCAGATTTGTATCTCGGTATTTATTTGGTAAGAATGCTTAGCCATAATGTCACTTAATAAATCCCTAAGGATTTTCAGTTTGCCTTTGCAGTTTATGCTCTGTTCATGTAACCAACTTTGCTGGATGAAAAGGGCATAAAAAATAATCTTATTAACAGGTTTTTGTGTAGACCAACAACAGACTGTTTCTCATCAAATGATCAATGCCAGAGTTATGTATCTTTTCATTTTATCCCTCTGTGTATGTCCTTTTGACCTAGTGTGTCAACGCCCAGGTTTTGGGAGGGACTTCCACAAATATATGATTTCTTCAGGAAACTTCACCCCTCATTTTAACACACCCTTTGCCTGGACCTTGTGTCTACTTTTCCTCACAGAGAGGAGAGTTTTTAATGAAAGACTATTCAAATGAGCAAAAGGACCCAAGTATATTGCAACAAATGAAGTCAGGAGGGAACTAATCATTTTTTAGTTTAACTGAGATCACCCATAGTGTCCATGCTGTGAGGATCAGGAGAACCTCACATGGAAGCTGAGTACCATATCTAGATCATCAGTGCCATCTAGAAGAGGCAAGAAGCTCTGAGAGTTAGCATGTGCTTAATATAAACTTTGTGTGATCCATTTATTCCCATTTGGGTTATAATTTGGAATCTGAGATTTGGACGTTCTTTCACCCAGCATCTGCCACCCCCTCATGGCACATAGTGCGAACAACCAAGTCAGACTCTTCTCTTGTCTGCTTACGTAAGAGAGCAGGGAGCAAAGACAGGACTGGATCCTGGACCTCTTGCCCCAACATTTGGCTCTTCCCAAGGACGTAGGCTTCTCACTGACTTCAGTTAACTATGAGACAGAAGGTTGGAAGGAAGTTGGAGGAAAGGGAGAGAAGAGAGGGATAAAGCACATGCAAATTGGACTTTTAACAATTGGAGGCAAGTTTAAGGTTGATAGTACAGATACAACATTTCTTCTTGACTTGTTCTACCATTGAAAGTCAGCCCAAAGCAGAAACCCCACAGATATCCCATTCTGTGGCAGATACACCCACCCCATGGGGTTGTGAGTATTGACTGCTAATGGAAGTAGCCACTCCCTTCTTCAGTAAATACTCTCTGCAGAGGGAGAGAGATGAACCCTGATATCTTGCAGGTCAAATGAGAAGAGCATGTGGCACTGGGGAATAAACATGCAAGGTGCCTGAGAGATTCACGGATCAGATCTGACTCTGCCTTGCTCTGTGGCCTAGAGCAAGTAGCGTGAATTCTCTGAAGGCCAGCTTCTGATCTGTCACCACTCCACATACCTGATGGGCACCTAGTGCATCTGGTTTCCATCCTTTCTCCATTTTATTCTAGTGCCTATCCTGGAAGCCATAGCAGTAGAGGAAGAAAGATATAGAGGTAGAGAAACTTAAAAATGAGGAAACAGTATTAATGTGCATTGTTTCAAAGGCCTCCTTTCTAAAATCTGGTGAAGGATAGATGAGCTAAAAATTTGGGAGTGATAGCACCAAAATCAAATGAGACCCTGATTCCTGATGGAAGTGGAAGAAGGGGTACCACAGACCCTTCAAGACTTCTCCCATTCAACTGTATCTGCTCTTTCAAGAGATCAGACAATGACTACAAAGATAGGCTTACTTTTCCCTTTCTATTTCACCATACCATTTGTGATAGATGACAGCTAAACCAAGAGAAAAGATGGACTTTTTTGGATCTACCCTCTGGGATATTTTGCTTCTTAACACTACTCTTTCAAGTTGTTTGATCTTGCTTACTTCACTCTCTGAGGTACCTACATAAGCCACAGAGAAACACTTTTGTGGGAAAAGTTATGTATGCGTATGTGTGTGTGTGTGTGTGTGTGCACCCACATGCACATGGGTGTGTAGTCATACACCATGCATTTCACACAACAACAGATCACAGTGGTCCTGTGAGATTATGCCACCTAATGACCTCATAGCCATCTTAGTTTGTATAAATGCAGTCTGTTATTTCCAACAATGACAAAATCATCTAGGGATACATTTCTCAGAAAATGGCCCCATAATGAAGTGGTGATGACTGTGTGTGTTGAACCGTCAGTGTGACTTCTCTTTGTTAAGTGGACCAAAAGGTGCATTGTGCACAAATAGAGCTCTCTCACAGTACATGCTAGAATAGAATGTTTCTTATTTTAAGATGAATATAACCCTTTCCTACTGTCTTGGTATTTTGTATTTTGTGCTTGGCATTGTTAGTTAGTAATTGCACATCATGGATCAGTCTTCACCTCTGCTTTCCTTTCAGTTACGGACGAGTTTATGCTGCCGACCCCTACCACCACACACTTGCTCCAGCCCCCACCTACGGCGTTGGTGCCATGGTGAGTACTGATTATTCCTTGTCCTCACTTCTTCCTGCCTCCCTTCCCTTCCCCCAGCTGGGACCTTACTATGGGTTGACGGTTGACATCCTCTCACTTTCCCTTAATTGAATTTGTCTCTTGTGCTAACAGCAGCTAAAATGCCACATTAATCCTCCCAGTAAACTTGATAAATGTCTTAATTTCTTGGCAATGTAGTGCATGTAAGTTATTATATTTCTAATTTTGCAAGTCTCACCTAGCAGAGCACTTACCTTAATGGAATAATTAGTCATTTTGATAATTAAATCCATCACTAACAGAATGCAGTGTCAATGCAGAACTTTTTTTTTCTTTTTTTTTCCCTCCCTCGCTGCTCATTCACATAGCCCCAAGGTTCCAGCCCCAGCACAGACTTCAGAGGAGCTAAGCTGCACACTTCCAGGCCTCTGCTGTCAGGCAGCTGAGAATCTGACTGCCTCTCCTCCCCTTTTACAATTCATGTTTAAAGTCATAGTCGCCCAGGAAAGAAAATAGAGAGAGGGGCACACTTTGTGTGTGTGCCTAGTACATAAGAAATTAGAAGGAATCAGCTGGGTTTGGGGTTGTCTTTTGTTTTGGGAGATCTGGGTTTTTGTTTTGGGATGGGTAAAGGGGAGGGCAGAAATGGGCGGTAAGGGTGGGGTGAATTTGCCTGTACTTGTTCAAACTTCTATGCACTAAAACTCTTGAGTACAGTAAGATGTGCCCATCATGTGAGAGTGTATGCAATCATTACAAAGCTTTGGCATGCAGTTTTCTGCTTGGATCAAGAATATCAGTCCTTATCCTAAAAATAAACCCCATAGGCATTCATTTGAATCGCCAAGACTTAGAAAAAGAAAATGGTTAAGTACCACCTCATAGCCATTTAAAGCCATGGCCAGACAACTCCCTGGAGCTTGGTCATAGAAACCCAACCACGATTCGGAAACCTGTTGTTTTGCACAAGCTTAATTATGTCCAGCAATGCGTCTGTACAATCCCCGCTCAAGGTCAGATCCCATACAGATTGCCGAGCCAAGTCAGGAAGCAGATTTAGATTTCCATCGTGATTCTGCATTCGACAACTCCACTTCCACACGTCCACTTGAGGGATGTCTTGGAAAGGAGAGTTGAATCCCTACCTTCAATAAATCGTCTAGATCCAGCTTTCCCCAAGGGAACGTGGTATTAATTAATCAATCAATCAAAGAAACAAACAAAATGAGACAGTGCAAATCCTTCAGTTGTCCAGTTTATACCAAAGTCCTTGTAGCTAATAGGACTGGCTGACAAGTGTTAGCTTTATAGCGATTTTCTTTATAAGGAGCTTTTGGGGAGGTCAAGACTGGCCCTATCTTGAGCTCTCCAAGAATGACCTGGGATGGGTAAGGGGGTGCCTCCATTTTGGTTGGTTTTGAGTGTCTATTTTTTTCACATTAGTCTTTTTGATGATCCACATGTTGCAAAAGGAAAATGTAAAAAACACACCCCTCAAATTGCTTTGTTTCAGAATGCTTTTGCACCCTTGACTGATGCCAAGACTAGGAGCCATGCTGATGATGTGGGTCTCGTTCTTTCTTCATTGCAGGCTAGTATATACCGAGGGGGATACAACCGTTTTGCTCCATACTAAATGACAAAACCATAAAAACCTTCCAATGTGGGGAGAAAGGAAGCTTTCCGAGGCCTGAGTATTGCAATACATGCAGTAGTGCATCATTTTAGCAACTCTAAAAAAAGATAAAATAAAAAAGAGGAAAAAATTACATTTTTTATCTTATACCTCAGATATTTTGTTCTGTGTATTTTAATATTGTGGGTCTTTCATTTCTGAAGGTTCCGTAGATTGGTTGCTGGCTGTAGGAGTTTTTTTGTGGGTGATCTAGAGAGATGCTAGTTATGAATAAAAATTGGTTTAGGGCCATATCCAGAGTGCTATATTATGTAAATGAATTATATATGCTGAATCTGAAGCTACTGGGGTTAAGCTGTCTGGGAAGAGTGTAAGTGACTATAGTAGTCATTTTTTTCTGCATCTGCATTATTTTATTTTGTGAAGGGGAAGGTCGGGAGGGGCTTAGGGGTTTGGGCCTGGGGTTTGGCTGAAAGAAAAAAAATATATAGTAACTGATGAATCTAAACGACCCACTGCACCAACGATCATATATCAACGGTTCTAAGTTACTCATTGCCAGTTCAAGCCAAAGGTTATGTTGTTAAGGGGCTGCTTCTAGTAGCACTTGTGCATTGGATTTGAACGAAGCTGTGCAAACCCACCCTTAAAACCATTCCACCCGGCAGTATTCAGCTTCTTAACCAGCCGCTAGTTATTTAGGCAAAAACTACTAGTTAGGCCATCAACAAGTATTCTTTTTATATTTCTTCCAGTATAATAAATTATTGATATCATTGCTGACTTTTATATTATGGGAGGGAAAAATAACATTAATAAAAAGGTGATAAAAAGCACTGTTTCTATTTTTTTCTTTTTTTCCAAAAAAAAAGAAAGTAATAAAAACTTAAATTCTTTGTACCAGTTAAAAAAATGTATAAAATTTACATCTGTGCAGTGGAGTTGTTAAGTTCTAGAAACAGTCGATGAAGCTTTAGTTTTAGCTTAGTAGAAACAACTGTTAGAGACAGACGTATAATTTTTATGGAATTACATGATAATCATATTCGGATTTATAGACGCATTTTACAAGTATTGCAATCATTGAGTAGAGATAATCATGGTATTTTCATCAGCTTGGTACTTTTTGAAACATGACTACATTGTGTGAGCAAACTGTAATTTTTCAGTCTGTGAAAAGCCTGCCCTCCCAACTCTCTGCCACGCCCCAGGACTATTTTAAACCAGTATCTTTAGCTCAGTCTCCAAGGCCCAGGACACTTGTCAGAAGGAAGCAAAAAAAAAACAACTAGATCCCCATTCTTCATCCCCAAAGAACAAGCCCCTCACCTTCTGTCGAATGCAGGGCCAGAGCTACACAGCTGAAAAATTGCAGCTTGTCTGTATTTCTTCTGTTGGAACACTTCCCATGTTGTCCTGTTTACAAGTTAACCTAAGTTGGGGTATCTGTCACGGGTCTTCCTGTTTTTGTATTTAAATTTAAAAAAAAAATAAATAAAACAGCAGCAGCAAGCTGTCCCTGAGTAGTTCTGCTGCCATACCTAAATCTTCATGTGTGCAGTGCAGGCCGTATGTACGGCACGCACTTTAGTAAGTTATCAACTCACCGCTGTGACCTGCCAATCCGCTGTAACAACTTCGCTTTAAAACAAAACCAAACAAAAGTTTAAAAAAAAAAGTGTTTGTGATCCAGCTTTTCCTTGTCATCCTATGTGCATGCCGTAAGATCAGTTGGATATTAAACCATCAATAAAGTTTCACAAGATTTGAAAATAAAGTTTCTGTAGCTTCCATATCTAAGGCAGACTATAGTGATCTCGAGAAGAGAAAGAAAGGGGGAAAAACGCTGAGCAACCAAAAGCATAGGAATTGTTCTTCGCACCAGACTCCTTTGGGTGGGGCAGGGGAGGGGCGAAGGGGTGTTTCAAAGCAGCGCTAAGACATTCTCATTCCCCCACCTGGAAAACAGTGTGATCACACTGCGGGGCTGCTTGATGCTATTCAAGGAAGCGATTTGTTAAAATGCTATGGCATCCTGCCCCAGAGGGAAGAAAGATAGTAAGGAACAGGGGCTGGGAAGAATACCTTGATTTTTCCCACTTGCCTCAGATTTCAAAATCCAGAATTTTGCATCGTGTTTGGAATCACAAACAGAACTCTTACTGTGTTGGTTAAAGTAAACTTCATTTGCAGTTTTGATTTTCATCAATGAGCTGTACTTTCCCCCATGGTTGTATGTAGTTTTAATAAAATCATTTAGAGCAAGCGAGTGCCAACTGATGTCGCAGAATCTTTTGTCTAGGCACTCTGCCAAGATGCCAGTAAGTCATTTTAAAATGTATGTCAGAGATGTAAACAAACATTTTGGATTTTTTTAAACAGTATTTATTTGGAATGTTTTCATTTATCTAAATAACTATTGCTATTATGAAATATGGAAAAAAGATTACTATCATGTGTGGCATATAGTGACTTCTTAACACACACATCACGCAATCTGCAAACCCAGAAAATGTGTATATCTGTCTTTAGAAATTAGTGTTTATATCACTTACAGTGGTTTGTGAATAAAGAAAACTGGTTTGTAATATCAAAAAAATAAAAGCTTAGTCTGAAAAGGTACATGCGAGTTGGTGTTCTGAGTTCTTTTTGTGTCCACGGGTCCCCTCCAAGGGTACAGTACTCATCCACACATGTGGCTGCGCTTGGCCTGCAGGGTACGTGGGATGGCTGCTGTCAAGGGCTCTGTAGGCTGCCTTGGTCACAGGTAGACCAGGTGCCACCTGAAAATATTCTGGATATTTGGTTCAGAACACTTCCCATCCTCACTCACCTGTCCAAATAAGTCAGAAGTCACAGATATTCAAGAAAGTTTAACTCCACTGAGCTTAGCAGTACCCCAGCGTGGAAATATCAGCCTTTGGTTTAAAACAAAACACCACCACACTGTGCGCTTCAAGTGAAGGGTGTTCAAGGTACTAGTATACTTTGTTGCGGAACATCGGATGAGGAAAAAGAACAAACAATAAATGCTTGTGTCTACTTGCATTGAGGGCTTACTGTACTCCCAGAGATGTGTGCTGGCTCTTCTATTCCTGGTTTCATTTACTGATTTAAGAACCCCATTAAACTCTTGACTCCATTTAGTTACTAAAGAATATCCTAATTCTACCTAATTTAATAATCTTAATACTTCTATCAAGTTTGAGCACATGCAAAGGTTAAAAAAAAAATGTGTGGTCTCAGTTTTCAGCTGGATTCCTTCACTTGCTAGGTCAGTAGAGTCCAGGGCAAGTTAGACCAAGGCACTGGCCTCCTCATCCATACTGCAAGATTCTAAATGCATGTACCTCTTAGTATTGTTATATAGAATAAAGAAAGCAATGTATGTCAAGTGCTTATAGTGATGCTTAAGAAGTTGCAAGCTCTTATATTTACAGGTAAAATAATTGAGAGAAAAGGAGGCTAGTTAAGATCACACATCAAGCAAATGAGGAGGCTGGATTAACCTTACATAATAGAAAATGTTCTCATCTGGCCCATGAGAATTTTAGGAGTGAGAAGTTCTACCCCAAACGTTTCCAGAGGATTTTGGTTCTCTCATCCTCTTTCTACACTGAGGGCAGACTTATAGTGTGAATTATACCATTTCAAATATGTTCTTGAGACCATCATGCTAAGTAAAATAAGCAAGACACAGAAGGTTAAATATGTTATGCTTTCTTTTTTTTTACAAGAAATCCTAATTGTAAAGACCAAGGATAGATCATAGGAAGGAGGAAGATTAAACTTTGTGGAGATGGGAAGGGGATGTATGGATAGGGTGGAGAATGGGGAATAAAAAGGATAAAGATATTTTATGTGTATGTACCAATTCCTAAGAATTATTTATCATATATCACAAACATATTCTGATAAAAATGCCAAAAAGTCAAGTGTATATAATGGTCCCTTCTCTACAAACTCCATTTCTAGGCTGGTTACAATCAACTTTTATTCTCTTATTTCAACTGATCCTAAAAGATAGTTACCCATTTTGTACATGAAGATGAGGAGGTTCCAAAAGGTCATATGATTTGTGTGAAGTAACATCTAGTTGGATACCAACTGCACAGAACGAGCTGTCTAAGCCTGAAGTCTGTACCCCTGAAAACTGTGCCCTGATTGATAATGAAGGTGATGATAAGGTTAAACCAGAGTTCTGGTGTTCTTCCTACAAAATGTTTAAGAAGATATTAATTAAATCAAAAAAGTCATTATCGTTACCCTGGCAGGTGGCAAGAGGGAGACGATTGTCTCCTAAAACAGAAGTTTCTAACTGAGCCCCTTCCCTGTTCAGGGTGAAGATATACATGTAAATGACAAATAGAGTAACTGCATTGGAATCTCCAGAAGCATTTCTCTAAAATGGAAGTAAGCATATACCTTTCGTGTAGAATAGAAAGACAATTTCAATGACACCAGAAGTGAAGGAATTGCTTAAGGAACTCAACCAGTGGACACCAAGGCCTTATCCTCCCCTCAGAGCATGGGCAGAGGTGGGCAAACAGGCCCAAAGGGGCACACATGTTTTCTGTACACATAGAGGTTGTTGCTTACTTTTCTTTGAATAATGCCTGCGAGGTAGCCATGGCCTTGTCCCACTTATAGTATATTTCTTAAAATTTTAATTGAACAGTAAAAACTTCTCCATAGTAAAGAGAAAAGCATAAATAAACAAGGTGGGACAACTATCTCAATCCCAATTTTCCACTCATCACCTCAACCGCCTTTATCATATTTATGTCATCTAAAGCCCCCATCTCCTGAGAAATAAGCATCCTTCTGTTTAACATCTTTTTTATGCATGCACAAGCAAAAAGAAAAGCCCTGTACTACTGACTGGTTTGCACGAACATGTGATTCACAGAATTCCTCTGTCAGATATACCTGGTAAGCTGATTGAAGAACTAAATACTGAGACACTCTGCTTTCTTTACTCTATAGGCTAAGAACAACCATTATCCAGGAGTCTGAGGTAGGAGGATCTCAAGTTCAAGGCCCACCTAGAAAGCTTAATGACTTAATGAGACCCTGTCTCAAAATTTAATAAATAAATGAAGAGTTGGGGATATAGTTCAGGGGGAAGGTTTTAGGTTCAACCCCCCAGCACCACACCCATACACATAAAAGAACCACTACTAACCAGGAGGTGCTTTCTGGCAATAAACTTGACTGTGACCATGCTCAATTCCCTGCAGATCTGACACTTAGAAATTTGGAAGAGCCAATGAATGTGTAATTTGGAAGAGCTGATGAATGTGTATGCGTGGATGCACATATAGCATGCATGAGCTATGTGTACAGTACATAGATATATAAGCACATACTTCCACATATTATACAATGAATCATATTTTCAATGCTTATGATCATTTGTGATTATTTTTTCACTAATAAATTCAAGAACTATGACAGAACATATCACTGGTATCATGGTGGAAAGATGAAACTCATTTTTTGTTGGAGAATTTACAAAAGTTGTTTTGGGAGAGATTCATTTGTTTTTCATACTGGATATGTATATACATGAACACATATATATATTGCATATCTGGGACATTTTTATGTAAATTCTCAAGATACAATGTTTTCTGAAAGGTATGAAATTCCCATTGTGCAATTGCTGAGGACTCGACCTGATGTTTGACATTGGACCAAGGCCAGGTCCTCTCCTGCCTGCCCTAAAGCAGACTCCTTCACTTCATAGGTACAGCTGTGATTTCTCATCACTGTTGTTGATAGTCCTGAGGATGTAGACTTGGGTGTTACTCGAATAGTAACAGTTGTCTGTTGGCCCTTTTGGAGGTGTCCCCCAGAAATCCAAGTCCTCCTTCATATACTACATATAAACTGTGATTTTTGAAAATTGGGGAGGCCTCAAAGGCACACCCTGTGGCCTGGATAATGACAGCTGATCTGATCGTAGACTACTGGCCTGGAAAAATGAGTTTACCAACCCTCTTAAAAAGAAGTTCCTTTCTGGGCAACAAGATGGTAGCATGATAACAACAAGGATCAGGCATTCAAGAATAGTGCCGTTTGCCAAAGGGAACAAACGTTTTAGTTTGCATGGAGAATGAAATGAGTAACAGCCAAGGACGTTCAAATACATTGGAAAGCACACTGCACATGTACTTATTCTGTATATCTTTGCACACATAAATGTCTCCAATCCATATACAAGAGACACTGATAATATCTCTCAACCTCTCTTTTTCAGAGACCTCATCTATAACATGACAATAACAGGATCCAACCCACAGGGCTATTGTGATAAGAGGATGTACTGAGTGGGCTGGGGCTATGGCTCAGTGGTAGAGCATTTGCTTAGCATGCCCAGGGTTAGGTTCACTCTCCAGCACTGACCAAACAAACAAACACACATGTAAATCACTTAGCCTAGTATATAGCATTTTTCCTTTTAAATAATTGTTTCTATACCTATTTTAAAAATGTATATCCATATATTCTATGGATTCAAGTTTTATATATATATTCATATGATATATGCATATGTACACACAGATCTGTATAGTTGTATTCATCTAAAATAAATATCTTGCTAGGTGTACATGACTACCAAGTACATTTACATAGGCTTATCTTTATTCATTAGCATAACTGAAATATATATATATATACATATGCTAATTCTTAATGGAGCATTTAGATATAAATAAAGTGATCAGTAAATGGGAATTGTTACTATTATTATTACCATTGTTATGATGAACT